CTCCTGGTCACCAAGAAGCCTACTAGAGCCATCCGTGCGGAGCAAATGCCTAGGCCCCATCCTTCTCCCGACTATGAGCTGTGAGTGTCCCCAGGGTGGTGGCTCTTGATGCCTGGGAACAGGGAAGGAGCGCTGAAGCTGGGGCTTTGCCCAGGAGTTTACTAGAGAGGAAAAGGGTATTTCGAGCAGGGAACCAAACAAGGGCTTGGAGAAACGAACTCCGCTGATGAAGGGAACCAGGGAGTTCCTTCCACTCACCCTGACCCCTTCACCCCTTCAATCCGGCAGCAAGTACCCACCGGTCAGCAGTGAGAGGGAACGCAGCCGCTATGTTGCAGTGTTCCAGGACCAGTATGGAGAGTTCCTGGAGCTCCAGCAAGAGGTGGGGTCCACACAGGCAAAGCTCCAGCAGCTGGAGGCCCTCATGAGCTCGCTGCCCCCACCCCAAAGCCAGGTCAGCACTGGGCAGAAACCCCTGCTGCCCACAACCCTTCAAGTGGCCTGACCTAAGCCCCTGGGACACCCACTGGGTCCAGATCCTTGGTGGCTTCTTCCTCTAGGCTGGGGGGTGCCACAACACATGGCCAAGGGCAGCGCTCAAGGTGTCACCTGGGTGGGTCACTGAGCCTCCCTCTTCTTCCTTGGCTCCAATCTCCTGAGCCACCTCCTCCTCCTCCCCTTGCAGAAGGAGGCCCAAGTTGCAGCTCGTGTCTGGAGGGAGTTTGAGAAAAAGTGGAAGGTGAGTCAGGACACCTGGGTTACATAGCTCCGCCCTTGCACTCCTGAGTGTTGTGAAGCTGGGACACCTGTGCCCAGTTCAAAAACAAAAAAGCTGAGGCTTGGGCAACCCTACTGGGTCCCCTCCCGCCCTGCAGGAGCTCTGTCTCTTTTCTTCTCACTCTAAGTCATACTCTTTTTTTTTTTTTTTTAATCTTGTGCATCCCTTTTTTTAAATTTATTTTTGCATTACAATTTTTAATACACCTTTATACCACAATTTATCATATCTCTGGATGTATATAAGCTATGTTGACACCAAATTCACGTCCTCATACATGTATTTTGTATAATGATGAGGGTCTCCTTCCACTATCCATGCTATTCCCCTTCTCCCTCTCAGTCATCCTCTTTTACACTCAAAAAACGGAGGCTTGTAGAGGAAAAGACAAAGGGCTGAACAGCACAAGGACCATTGGCTAGACTGCTACAAGGACTTCCCTGGCTCTTTCCCTCCCAGGACCCTGGCTTCCTGGACAAGCAGTTGCGCTGTCGCTATCTGAAGGCCAAACTGAGGCACCTCAAGACCCAGATCCAGAAATTCGATGACCAAGAGGACAGTGAGGGCTCTGTGTACTTCTGAGTGTCCTGGAGACTGGCAGCAAGACCAGGGTAGGGATCCCTTGGTTCTCTTGCCCGCCTGGCGGCCTTTGGACTTGCCTTTCTCCCCTCGCCTGGTGAGCCTTGGCTGATTGCAGGCTCCGCGGTCAGCCTTAATGGCCCCTCTCCCAGGACCTCCCCTGGGAATGCCAGCCCTGACTTTATGAGGACTGAGACCCCAGGCCCCTCAGCGGAAGCAGTGCTGCTCTCGTCCCACCGTCCTCCCGGGGGAATAAAGGGGGATCAAAGCCCTTCTGTCTCCAACTGCTTGACACTCCTGGTTTTGCTCAGTAGTCACCAGAAAATGAAAAGGAAAAAACTGTTCTGTTCTGCTGTGTGACTTGGGAGGCTGAGGCGGGAGGACTGAGGCCATCCTCAGCAACTTAGCAAGACCCTGTCTCAGAAGTAAGTAAGTAAATAAAAAAAGACCAGGGATGTAGTTCAGTGGTAAGTGGCCCCTGGGTTCAATCCCCAGTACAAAAAAAAAAAAAAAAGCTGTGTCTTCCAGAGGGGGGAAACAGTGAGCTCCTGGGAAGGACCCTTGTCCGGGGTCTCGAGTGGGCTGGAGCCTCACCTGTGCGCAGAGCTCCCTTGGCGCCAGGAGCCTCGGGCGGCCTCTGGTCAAAGGCGGAGGAGCCAACTCCAGCAGCCCCAGGGAGCCACTGTCTGCAGGTCCAACAGTGGAAGCCAGGTGGACAGAGGAGCCCAGAGTCTCACTGGGCAGCTTCCCGAGGACTCATGGGGTGCAGCACTGGAGCCACCTGGGGGGCCCCCAGGTCCTGAGGAGACCCTGCCCTGCCCCGGAGTTTCCCCTTGTCCACTTCGCCAGGCCCTGCAGGCTGGATGGGGGTGGACGCCAGGCAGGCACGGGCACAACTGACACCTGGCCTGGTGGAGGGTCCCCCCGGTGCCAGACCCCTGCCAGGCCCTGGGTAGGGCAGGTGGGGCACAGGTGGCCAGGATCCGGCCAGGCGGGTGGTAGCTGACCAGATACAGCCCCTTCTGAGTCTTTCCCACGGAGCCACAGGGGACAGCGGCAATTGAGGCTACCTGGAGGCCAGGTAGACAGTGCCAGCCACTGGCCATGAGGCTAGTCCTCGAGAAGCCCTTAGTCTGGGGAAGGAAGCCCAAGCCCAGTAACAGAAAGATGAACAGCAGAGTCTTAAGATCCAGGGAGGCTCAAGATATTCTCCTACAGGAGGCCATATGGGAAGGGTTTCGTGGAAAAGTGCGAGTTGAGCAGTGAGGCCTGGTGGATTCCTGCCCAGGGCCAGACAGGACAGACCTCAAGGTCTCAGTCCTCAGACGTCTCATGAAGCTGAAGAGTGAAGTGCTGCTGTCCAGCCTGCTGGAGTGGACATACACCCACTCACCCATGGGCACACGGGAGACCCTGGCCCAGGCAGAGCCCAGTGCAGCCTCCGTAGGGCCCAACGTCCTCCCCACCCTGCTTCCCTGCGTCCCTCTCTGGAGACAGGGCATGCTCCTGAGACCCTCATTTATTTCACAGGAAGTGGCTTAACCCCCGTCCTCCTCAGTCTCCCTCAAGATGGCCGTGGAGAGGCTGACGGCAGACACTGGAGGGCCGAGCCTGGCCTGGCCTGCAGGGGGCGGACCCGAGTCCTTCCTTTGCTGTGGCATCTTTTGGGGGTGGATTGGGGAGCTCTGGGGATTGGTCAGGGCCTCATGCATGCTAAACACAGAAGATGGCTGCTAGATCCTATAGGTGTCTTCCCAGCCCAGAGCTGGGGACAAATCTAGAGGTTGGGATGACAGGTGCCTGGCGCCCTGTGGACCCACTCAACTAAGTCCCCTTTTAAAGTCTGTCTGCACTCTCCTCGTGCTAATATTAGAAACAACCTGGGGTTTTTAGTCACTTGTGAGAAAAAAATGAACTCAAATGATCTTGAACACAAAAGGGAAAAATCTGAGCGCATGGAATTTAAAACACCCAAGAATTTCAGGTAGGGCTTGATCCAGGGGCTCCAAAGGTATCATGGGAAACTGGTCTCTCAGCTGCACTGCTTGAATTCTCTTTCCAGTTCCAAGTGCCGCCATTGACTCTCCCTGGCCTGCTTGCACTCACATGTCACCGTGAACCATTACTGTGGCCAGAGAAATGGAGGGCCCCTGCTACCTGGACTGAGATCATGTGCCAGGACTAGCCATGGGTATTTCTCCCAAGGACACTAGAGCCCAGTCACCATAATTAGCACTGACCAAAGAAAATGTGTTTGGCCCAGAACATGGAGGAATCCAAATCTAGGAGGCTCCCGCTGAGGAGCCTGAGCAGGACCAGGAACCTGAGCGCCTGGGTGCAGATCCTGGGCTCCCCGGCCAGCCTCCCCTCCCACCTGCCCAACAAGCTCACGGAGGCAGTGGGTGTGGTGCCCAGTGGGCAGCAAGCACCTGCTGTTTCACCCTCTCCTCAAAGATGGCACTGGAGGATACACAGGTAGGAAACGGCTTTATTATTGGCCTCATGTGTGTCACCTAGTGTCCAACGTGGACCTCATGTCCGGAGGAGCTGCCTGCACATGCAGCTGCCCCTCCAGGCCAGAGGCCAGGCCTTCGCCTACATCACCCGGAGGCCAACCCCACCCTCCCGCAATTCATGCTCGAGACGCGGAGGGACAAGGCAAGCCCAGCACTGGGCCCTCCATCCCTGGGCCCTCCTTGGGCAGGGTTCCAGGAGGGGCCAGCTGGGCCTGGAAGATCAGTCTCTTTTTGGTTTTATGATCATTTAAAAAACGGGAAAGACAAACATTCCACAGTCTTTAAAAAATAGGTGTCTCAGGAGAGAAGCCAGGGCCCTCACCCTGGGCCCCTCGAGGCCGGCATTCCGTGTCCCTTGAGGTCTGCAGGTCAGCCAGTGTGCACCCAGCCCTCCCACAGTCACTGTCCCGAGTAGGGCCAGTTGAAGGTACTTCCTGACAGCAGCATGTCCCGGATCAGAGTCTCGATGGGCGTCTTGCCCACCAGGCGCATGAAGAACAGCTGGGAGATGAGGGACGCGGGCACCGCTCGCAAGGCCGGGAGCCGCAGCAGCAGGCGGCCAAAGCGCTGGGGCTGGGACGGGTACTGGGCCCGCACGTACTCCGTGAGGGCCACTTGTGCCTTCTCCTGCAGGCTCTCCACGTGGGCCGGGTCTGAGAGGCCACAGGCATCTGGCAGACATGAGGGCAAGGTCAGACTGCAGGCAGCAGAACACACAGGGCCCACGGGGGTGACTGCTTAGGGGCCGTCACTCAGGGATGGGGCCACTCTGGAGGTGAGAAATGGGCCCTGGGGCATAAATAGGGATATCTAAGCTGGGCATGGTGGCACTGGCCAGCAATCTCAGCAATTTGGAGGCCAAGGCTGGAGGATAGCCAGCCTCAGCAACTTAGACCCTGTCTCAAACACAACAATCAAAAAAAAAAAAAAAAGAAACCTCGATGGTTAGGTGTCCCTTAGTTTGAAATTGGGGCATCTAAGGCAGTGTTGATCTTCAAGGGACATGAGGTGGAGGCAGACCTGTCAGCATGACCTCGGGGTGCAGCAGGCAGTGATGCCTCCTTTGGAAGGGACTCAAGTTATGGGCACTCATCAGGCTGGGGAAGAGGCAGGGCCCAGCGGGTTTCAGGTGGCCTGGAGTGAATGGGGACCAGTGGAAGTGGCAGCACTCTAGAAGGGAGCCGTGAAACTGGGACTCAAAGAAGAGGTGGCAAATCCAAATTTATCAAATGCAGGCAGGCAGCCACCCAGAGTGTGGTGTCCCAAGGAAATATCTGGTGGCCCGAATCCTTCCAGCCCGCTTAGGAACCTCCAGGGGACAGACTGGGGAGTGTCTTTCCAAGGCACAGAATCCCAGCTGGAGGTGCGGCAGGTGGTAGAGGTCAGCTGTGGGTTTCTCCCCAGGCAGGGGAGGGGGTGGTGGTGTCTCTCAAAATTAACAAGAGTCAGGTGTGGCTCTGTGGCCCTGGGTTCCGTCCCCT